TCTGGAAGAAGCTATTTTTAGAGGAATTGGCTCTGGTATGCGAAGAGACCAGCGCATACTCCTCTGAGCTGCCTTGGCTTTGGAGAAAAAGCCAAGAGAGTCTGCCAGATTGCTTTGCAGGAGAGGTAGGTACCCCTTCCAAATGTCGGGGTGTGCACAACCTCTCCCAAGGTTAAGGCCATTTCAAAGAATCACTAGTAGCTCAGGACTGAGAAGAGGGAGTGCAGAGCCCGACATGGCCAAGCATTCTGAAGGGGGAGCACAAATCTAGATTACCCAGGCAGCCATGGGAAAGAGGTGGAATTCTCAGCATCAAAAAGAGACAGTCCAGTTTGGCTGTCTTTGGGATCGTAGGCCAGGCACTTCCTATTTCTCCAGGGCTGTGTCCTGCTGTTTCAACTCTGTTGCCTTCTTCCCACAGGTCTGCTGGTCTCTCACTGCTAAGAAGACTCATTTCGGCTGCTTTAGAGACTTCTAGGCTAACAGGCAGGTCGCCAGGCCTGGCTGTGTCGCTGTTAGGAGCAAGCAAGTCCCTTCTGTCCCCCAAGTTCTAGCTTCCATGTCACCACTTGCACTGCCCTCCGTGACCACAGAGACTTTGCCTCATCTGCTTTAATTTCTCAGCTTCATTTCATCACAAGGGAGAATGAAACAAACACAGCAAGAAGAGTCCCATGCAATCCATCTGGTAGACCACGGGTGCCCAGTAAGCAGGCGCAGCCTTATTACCACGGCTGCATACATTTGCATGAAGATGAGCTGCTCCCACGTTTCAGTAACCATGCGTGTGGCTGGCTTCTGCGTGGAGCTCATCCTGCCAACCACCACCTTTAAGGGAACAGCCTTTCTTTCCTCCCCCTCCACCCCTTCCTCCCTTTCTTCCTCCCTCTCTCCCTCCCTCCTTTCCTGCCTTTCTCCTTTCCTTCTACACTGGGATTTGAACCCAGGGCCTTCACACTTTGCTACCTCCAAAGCCCTCTTTAAATTCTGAGACAGAGTGTCACTAAGTCACCCAGGTGGGCTTGAACTTTGGATCCTGCCTCAACCTCCCAGGGGCTGGGATTAAAGGCGTGTACCACCATGCCCGACAGAACTGACCCGTCTTTACAGAGAAATCTCGTGCATGGGTAGCTTCTGCATTTAAGGTGTGGTTTCCAGTCCTTGTCCCGGTCCCTAAAGTGGTACTAAGTGTTGCCATTGTAGCTTTATGACATCGGCCTTGTTACCACGGGGTGTCCTGTGCTAAGCATTTGATACCATACATTCACTCAGCTTTCCTAGGCACCGTTAAGGACAAACCATGGACCCCAAACCTTCTAGTTAGGAAACCAAGGATCAGTAAAATTATTCACCCATATGTGTAATCCCGGCTACTTGAGAGGCTGAGGCAAGAGGACTGCAAGTTTGAGGCCAGCCTGGGCGACTTAGCAAGACCCTTTCTCAAAAAGTAAAAAGGCTGGGAGGATGTGGCTCAGCGGTAGAGTGGCTGTGGGTTCAACCTTCAGAAATGAAGGAAAAAAAAAAATGGCTCTCATCAGGGCCCAGACTGGGATGTGAGGCTGTCTGAGTCCATGGCCTACTCTTGCTTCAACTGGGTGCTGTTCTGTGTTTGAAAACACTCTGGTTGGGTTAGTCACTCCCAGATTCTGGGATTTCAGAGGCCAGGTAGTTTCTGTGACTTTTCCAATTAAGCTGCTGTATGTGTACACATAAATTTATGATTATGTAATTATAGGTAATTACAAATATGTAGAGAACTTATATGTATTCTTTCTTCAGTGGTCATAATTTTGTGAAGTTAAAGGGCAGTGCCAGGCATGGTGGCACACAACTGTAGCTTCACACTCAGGAGGCTGAGGCAGGAGGATTGCTGAGAGTTTGAGACCAGCCTGGGATACACAGTGAGTTCAAGGCCAGCCGGAACTACAAAGTGAAGCTGGGTCTCAAAAAAACAAAACAAAAGGCATTTTTAATAAAATAGTAACAGAGTAACAAAGTCCAGGAACTTAAAATAAAGGATATTCTTTTAAAAGGAATACGCCTTGTTAGAAACTTTCTCACTTTACCACATGTTGGGAAAAACCCAGTGACCATCAGACAGCCTCTTGGCAATCACTGCTCCAACTTGTCGATGCCTCTTCTACAGTTTAACGCCGAGATGTGAGCTCAACATCCAAGGTGGTCTGGCCTGCCTAAGATGAACTTTCAGGGTAGATATTCGTAATTTCTCTCTCCTGGAGACCTGGCCTGTGCACCTGGGAGGCCCCAACTATGGGCACAGAGGCATGAAGCAGGGCAGAAGCATGGGAAGACGCAGGTCTCAATCAGGGCTGCGGTGGGGCCACCGACCATAGGCTGACGGCTTAGATCGGCCTCTTCTATCCGACAGTGGATTGGAAACCTGGCCAAGGGAAGGTCTATGGTCGCTAAAGACAAAAGGTAAAAGCTGGAAGATCAAAGGACTGAGCAGGTGTGGGAAGGAGGGCTCAGAAAATTCCAGGCAGAGCGGGCTTTCCAACACCAAGGCCACAGCCCACAGGCGGGAAGGGGTGGTCACTGGAAGGGGTCAGCTCACTGTTGGTGCTGGGGGAAAGTACGATTAAGGGCTCAGAGAAGGTGGCTGAAGGCTACAAAAGGCAGAGATGGCAGGCAAAAGGGCCTTACTGTGTAGTTCCTGCCTGCAGGAAGGTTGTGGAGGCATGGGTTGTGCCCACTGTGACTAGGGAAGATAGTTTTAAAGGGTATCTGAGAAAAGATGGCAAAGTAGAAGAAAGAAGAAACTAAAACTCCACTACTGTAGGTCATATATTTCTTCTGCTCTAAATAGGGGTAAAACTAGTCATTAAAATGCCTCTTGGTTTGGCCCCTCATTACCTTTCTGACCTCATCCTCTGCTGCCTCCCCCTTTAGTTGTGCCATTCTAGTCATGCTGACTTTCTGGCACACCAGGCACATACCCACCACAGGGACTTTGCACATGCCTTTCCCCCTACCTATTATACTCTTCCTCCAGATAGCCACTTTCCCCCCTCACTTGCTTCAAGTCTATCCTTGTTTCATTTATCTCCATAGAGCTTACCACCTCCCAGCAGACAGTATCGTTACTGTTTATTGTTTACCCATCCCCAAATACAAAAGTCACACAAGCAGAAATTTTGTCTATTTTGTTCATGCTGTTCCGAGTGTAAAACAATGACTGCAATACCTTGGGCTCACAGTAGATATTTGCTGAATGAATATACAAATGAATGGAAGAGCCAATGGGCCATCTGTTGGAATGAAGTGGGAAGAGAGAATACATAAGGGGAAGGAAGGAAGGAAGAACAGGAGGACGCGGAAGAAGAGGAAGAGGTGATGCAGAGCAGACAGGCCAGGTAGATCTGTCTTTTACTTGGGGGACTTTAAAGATGACTTCAGTAGAAAGGTTACAAATGATGATGTCAATAAAGCCATCTAAAGGTAAAGACAAAATGAGAACAGTGATGGTCATTTAAAGAGTGATTTTAACTGGGCGTGGAGGCTCACACCTGTAATCACAGCACTCGGGAGGCTGAGGCAGGATTGCTGTGAATTTGAGACCAGCCTGGGCTACACAGTGAGTTCCAGGTCAGTCTCAACTACATAGTGAGACCCTGTCTCAAAAAAACAAACAAACAAACAAAAAAAGCGTGATCTTGAGGTCAGTGCTGACTGACAAACTACTCGTTCAAGAACAAGACCCTGGCCAGCTTCTAATACATGAAGGAATGGTGGACTAGGGTGTGCTACGCTGACAAACATTTGACTGAAGTTTTCACCTCCCGTACCCACATGTGGACGTGCACCGTCTTGTCTCTTTCTACCTGAAGATCTGATGCGTAGGAGAGAATCTGAAGTGATTCAAAATGACTGAGAGCTCAGTCCCCTTCTCAGACATTGGCAATTGAAGATCAGTTCAGTTTTTGTGCTTTTCCCTCTTCCACTACAACTACTGTGTTATAAAGATTTATCCATGCATCAAGGAGTTTTTTTTTTTTTTTTTTTTTTGGTAGTGGGGATCGAACTTGGGACCTTGCACTTGTGAGGCAGGCAGTGGAACCACTGAGCTAAATCCCTGGCCCCACCAAACAGTGTTTTGAGTGCTTCACATCCATGGTTATCTCATTTGGTTTTCAATGTGGCCCACTGAAATATAATTCTATCATTCTGACATTATTGTAGATTAAAAACTACAGCTGAAAGAGAGTAGCTGTTTCACCTATGTTCATACAAACAGTAAATTAGAGTGAGGACACAAACAGAGCATAACTCTAGGGTAGGGGTTGGCTAGCTCCTTGGAAAGGACCAGACAGAACGTATTTACAAGATCCTTTGTTGCAAATACTCAACAATGCTTTCAAAGAAAGGGCACATATAGTACATGCATAAATGTGGGTGGATGTGTTCTAATAAAACTTTATTTGCAATTGCATTGTTTCTCTTTTGTGAGAAACCCAAAGGGTAAACAAGCCGGAGAGAACAGGTATTGACAAGTAGGAAGAGCATGTTCAAATGGGAAAGGGAGCAAGGGAAAGGGGAGGAGGAAGAAAGGGAAGGAAGGGGAAAGGGAAAAAGTAGAAAGGAAGGAAACAAAGTATTTGTACGCAGGGAGGGGAAGAAGCACTGAAGGGAGGGGAGGGGAATGCAAAAAGTAGGCTCAAGATATATTATGCAGAGATACAAATTTCCTATGATGAATGTGATCAACATATACGGCAAATTTGTACAAATAAAAAACATAAAGACAATAAATAAGTAAAACTTGATTTATAAAAATAGGTGGTGGCTTATGGGCTGTAATGTGCCAACTCCGTCCTGGAGTCTGTGCTCCCGACCACTGGGCTACCACACCTGGGCAGCCCGGAGGGACAGGAGACTCCTGACTGGTTCAGACGGTCAGCTTTAAAATCACCTAGCAGAACATTGGTGGGGACAGAGAGGTGACCTCGTGTGGGACAGAGGGGTGGCAAAGGGTTACTCACATTTCAACGATGCCCTCCGGCAAGTTGGCAGGGATTTCGGTCAAGCCCTTTCCGCGACAGTCCACGATGTTATTGCTGCAAGTACAGGTGGAGGGGCACGAGAGGGAGTTGGCATTACAGGCTGGGGCCTCTGAGTGGGGACCTGTGGAGCCAGAGCACAATGGTCAACTCAAGTCTGTGTCAGGAGGATGCAGATTTTCCCAGTAAGTCAGCTGACAGTTATCACCAGCTAACACCTCTCCTTCCCTGAGTCACAGGATAGATTCTGACCTTGGCCTCACTCTTCCTAGGTTGCTCTAGCTGTTCTGTTGTCCCATCATCCTGGGCTTTTATAAAAAGAGGAGTCCTCCCAGTCGGTCACTCAAGAGAATATGCCTCCCGAACCCAAGGGGCCACTGGGACAGCGTTGGCAGGGCATTTGATATCTGAATGGAACCGTGAGGTGTTGGCTTCGGCCTGGTGATTGGATGCCCAGTGTAGACAACAATGTCAGCCCTTACATCTATTGGCTGGAAGCCACTGGAGGCATTAAATCAGAGGGAGGAAGGTGGTCGATTTTCCCCATTTGGGGCACTGATGTCAAAATGTTCCCATAGTCACCAGCAGTGATACCTGAGCCATTTCTGAATGGCTTTTACATTCAGGAAAAAATGCAGTAAAATTTCTATCACTAGAAAAAAGGTCACTAAGTTACTCCATATTTGGGAGTGAGTTCTTCATTTGGTTTGAGGGGATAACCAGTGTGAACTTAAAGCAAAGTGATAAAAACCCATGCAAATGGCGCCCTAGGTGTCTACTTAGAAAGCCAAACACAAACTTTTCCATCACTAATCTAACGCAGGACTCCGAGAGTCACTAAGAATCTTAATGACTTTCTCTGGTGGTCACATCAAAATCCAAATACAAGAAATACATTTAAATGTCTTAAAGACACTGTAAACATTTCCATGCTTTGATCACTACCTCAAAGTGAGGTAAGAATCTCAAACACATGTGTTTTGTTTTGTTTTTAAATTGGATGTTACGGTCCAAAAGGGAAATCCTACCAGTGGGCCTCCCAGGGCCCAGCCCACAGGTTTTGGATCCTCGCCAGCAGTGGTCACTCCAGTGTCTTCCCAGATCTCGCTCTGAGCAAAGGGCCCTGGGCTGAGATGAAGCATGGACCAACTTTGTAGATTACCCTTTCTCTCTGCACACAGAATGGGTGGTGTTCTTGGATGCAGATTAAATATGAAGGATGGAATATGTTTTCAGGGGAAAAATGATCTATGGTTTGGCCTCTGTTTGTGGAGAAAATAAAGCCAGCAAGAGCATAGCTTCAGTGGCTGAAACAGAAGAGCGGCCAGGCTGGGCAGAGTCCTCGTGTGGACACGGAGGGTCCCACCACTCACTCAGCAGTGCCCACGACCCCAGGGGCGGCCTCATTCTAGGAGCTCAAACTGATTCTCATAGCCTAGTTTGGGATCTTCCTGGAAAGTGCCAGTCCAAGGACCAGATTCTTACTGTTCTTTGAGCTCACGTACACACAAAACCAAAAACTTAAAACACCCTCTCAGCTGGGGTGTTTGAGAACATATTCTGGTCTGGAACACAAAGACTTAAAAGTCACCAGGGCCACACTAGGAGATCCAATGGGGACCACAGAAACTGCCACAGAGCCGATGATTTACACTAAAATCGCAACTGGAACAATCGCCTAAGGGGAATGGAGACACTGGCTTTGTTTCAAACTGGGAAAGAGTTCCCATTTTTGAGAAAGTAGCAACAAAGAGGTAACAGATCAGGAATGAGGGGGTGCTGCGGCAGAGAGTGCGGCCTTTGGCGTCTCACTGCCTCAATCTGAATCTTGGTTCTATCACTTTGTTCTTACTTCCCCCGTGCCTCAGTTTTACCCATCTATAAAATGGGAAGAATCACAATCATTATTTCACAGCGTGGTTTTGTTGTGAAGGTGAAAACAAGGGAAGCTGATGCATGAAAAGTATTTAGGAGGGTGCACGGCTCAGAGTAAGAAAGAGCTTAGTGATGCTGGTTGTTGTTGCCAGGGTTGGGTCTGGCCGTGTCACTAGATGTCTGCAAGACCTTGGGCAAGTCACAGTCCCTGTCTCTGAGCTGCTCTGCCACCGTCTCACTGAACAGGGAGCTTTGAAATTATGTGGTTTCTGAGAAATCACAGATCCACTTCTCTCGTCCCTCAGGAGAGTGGGAGCAGAGGCAGCACAATGCCCAACGGGAGCCTTTCTCCTCCGCTCCGCCTCTCTTCTGGGGCACACGGGGCAGCTGCGCGTGGGCTCCCATCAGCACTCAGGCTGGGCGTGGTGGGCCTGGGTTCTGGGGCTTTCCCCAAAGTTGCCACGCCTGTGTGCTCTTCACATCAAGGCAAGGCCAGGCAGGGGCACTGCCACACCCGGCACCTTCTTATCTGGGGACGGTCAGGGCCTGAGACCTTCCACTTCCACCTCTCCAGGCAGAAGGACGGAAAGGCTGCCCCCTTCCGATCTGTGAAAATATTAACTTGCATGGGTTGTGTTAGAAAATGCAGAAAAAAAACATTCAATTCAAGGGTTCCTATTGGCAACAAGAAGTTCCGACACTGAGTTTTTTGTCCCCCCCGCTTTTTTTTTTTATTCCCCCAAGCTGCCCCTTCTGATTTCTGTTGAAATGAATTCTACTGCAAACCAGGCCCAGGATGCAGTGCTGGGTCCCCCTGGGAACAGGCGGGGCCTTTTACAGGGTGCCTCTGAATCTGCTGGCAGTATGCACCACATTTCAAGGGATATCGTCAAGGCAGAAAAGCCTCTGAAAAAGATTCCTTAACCAGGTCACTAACAACACCTTTAATTACACAGAGAGAAACAACGGTAATTAGAGCCTCTGTCAGCACCCGGAGCTGGCAGCTCCCCAGGCAGGCATTCATGCACGGGAGGACAGTGAGGATGCTTCCTCCACCATTAAACACAGCACTTCAGGCTTCACAGGAAGGTGAAAGGTGGTTTCGCTCCCTGGGGAAGCACCTTCCCCTGAATCACCCCGATGGAACACGCCCGTTCACACAGGCCTCTCAGTACCTTGAAGTGGGCAGATAAAAGTTGCCACAGAAGATGTTCATCTCTGACCACTGCGGCTCTCAGGGTCGACAAGACCCATTTGTCAGTCACCTGGGTCTCGCCATGAGCCTCTCTCGCTTGTACAGGTCCAGCTGTACCAGGTGCTGTCCCATGCAAAGTCAGCAACTCGCTCCCTCCTGGCCCTTCCTGGGCACATATACCGGGGGAGTCAGGGGCAGGAGGGCACAGCTACCCTTCCCTGAGGTGGAAGAACGTTCTCAATGACATGGGGGAAGTGGGGATGTGTCTCCCCTCTAGGGGCTGTCTTAATCCTCACTTCAATTCTGGACTTTTATTCCCAAGCCAAAGCTACTTCTGTGGCAAACCAGGTGGGAACCAGTGCGTGCAGTGTGGGGACATCTCCCGGGACCCCCAGGGCCACACCTGATGTCTTGAGGGAGGGCAGAGTGCTGCGGAATGGAGATGTCAGCTCCTTCCTGCTGGCATTAAATACCAAGGCCTCCCAGAACAAGGGCACTTAGAGTGAGAGGGCAGGAAAGTGTTCCCAGCCACACCTCTTCCAGGGACAGCCCCCATGGCTGCCAGCACGGGTGCGCAGGACACTAGTTACCTCTTCTGATGGTACAGCTCCCCTCTAGTTTCTGGAGAAAAGAAAGACAGGCCCATGACAAGGAGCCTTCCTGGGCTGGCTCCTGCCGAGCCAGAAGCTCATCTTTAATTCCTTTTCTAATGAGGAAAATGGGGATGATGGCTACACTGAAAGCACAAGGAACCCCAATACAGGACAGTAAATGCCAAGGACAGTGTAGTGGCCAAACTAAGCACAACCATCATTCTCACAGAAGCAGCTAGTACCTACTACATGTTTACTAGGTGCCAGAGACCACATCAAATGTCTTGCACGTATTAATTCACTTGGTCCTCATGATTTAAGGTCATGATTTAGGGTCTTACACCTACTACTCCCATTTCAATGGTGAAAAATTGCAGAACGAGAAGGTTAAGCAAATTGCCCAAGATCACACAGCTATGGGACAACAGTGTTCTGATGTTTGGTCTGGGGCTGTTCTTTCTGTCTCTTCTGCCAAAAAGATACCCAGAAAGCCTCTACTTGTTGCCGTGAAATTAAAAAAAAAATCACCAGAGGCTCTGAAGCAGAAATTGCAGGTTCAGGGGCCAAGACGAGGACTGTGGAAATGACACCAGCAAGGGGTGGACACTCTTCTGTTTTTTTCTTTCTGTCTGAGGAAAAAAAAATCACTCAGAGTAAAAAAAAAAAAAAAAAAAAAAAAAAAAAAAAAGATCTGATGGCCTTGTATATAGAAATAAATTAATTCCAGTATTCAAATTAAGCCTCCCTTCTGGCCTCTGGCCTTTCAAAAGCCAACCACAGACTGCAGCGACAATAGAGCTTGAACAATTATGATGAGAATATAAATGAATGTGATTTAAATACCAGAGGCATGATAATTTTGGAAATGGCTAAATAAACCTAATAATCTCATTCCTGCAATGTTCAATTATGGTGCTTTAATTAAAACCTCCTAAGGAGATGGGTGGCTAGTCATGGCTTACCTTAATTATCTTTTTACTTAGTAACTAGTCCCCAATTTATATTAAAAAAATGAAAGAAAAGAAAAGGAACGAAGAAAAAGAAGAGGAGGAAAGTCTCTTGTTTCCAGGGAGATCAGTATATTTCTTTTTTAAAAATAGATGAGGAAGTATTTATGGATAGGCTATTGGGCTCAAGATTCTTTCTAGGAATGGGAGCACCTGCAAAAATAAGATGTGGCCCCTTATTACTAGAAGACAAAACTGGTATCTTTGTGCAAAGATGCCATATGTTCAAGGCCACAGGGCAGCAAAGTGGGAAGCAGACAGGCAAACCAATGGACTCAAAAATATTCAAAGGAAAGAGGTGATTGATACAAGAGGTCAAATATTTAACTAATAACCATAAATTAAGAACAATGACAAGTAGTAACTTTCACAGAATAAACAGGAAAGAAACACATGGATAAAGGGAAAAAGAAATCTCCTTTGATAGAAAGAGAAAACAACTTGCAACGCACATAACATCAACTTTTTCTCTGGGCTCTTATTATGAACTCTGACAAAGTCCTGGCCTAGCCCAAGCAATGAGAAGGAAGCAGGGCCTGTGGATTCCATAACCCTCAGGCTCTAGCCTTCCTCTCCAAACAAAAGAAATAAACAGAGAGACTCAGCCGTCACCAGGTGGTAGGTTGCAGAACAGAAAATATGTTAAGAAAAAAAAGGTATATTCCTGCAACCTTGGTGAAAAACTCCCAATGTCTTCTCAGAGAAAGAAAATAAATATTTTCGACAGAGATGAATTTTGCTTAAGTGCACTGCTAGCAAATTTTTGGGTTAACTGGAGTGATAAGGCGCCCTTCTCCAGGGCTTCTGTGGGGAAACGGCCGGGCTCCAGACGGCTGGATTTAATTCAAAAGGAGATATCAGCGACCTGGGCTGGCAGAGCCCTCCCAGGCTGAGGGAGATAAAGCTCTTTCCTGTCTCTGGAGTCCTGTGTTTGGTGAATTTTTCGATATCACTAAAGGACCCAGGGAGCTTTTCTTGTGCTGGCTGACAAGAGACCACTGGCGATGAAGCCACAGGCAGGCATGGCTTGAGTGGTGCCCAGTGCCTCCATCTCCGGAGCAGATGACCTCCAGATTTTAAGAGAAGTTCTTGTCACGCCAATCTTGACAGGAAACCCCTTCTAGGTGAATTGTTAGGGAAACGGCTTGAATGGGAGCATTTGTGGTTTTGCGGTTCAAGCTACCACTCTTGGGTCCTCAGCACAGAGGTCCCTATACACCACTGCCCTCATTTCATACTATGGGTGAGAGGGTGGAGGCTGCTAGCACAGTGATGCTTCGAACTGAAGCTCTCCTGTCCTCAAAAGACACCCGGCTTCATAGTAGAGAATACAGAGACCACGATCAGGAATGGACTTGAGGGCTCTGCACAGGGACGGTATTAAGGGTGCACCTGTGTGTAAGATCCAGCCGGTAGATCTAGCCTTGTCTAAGGAAGGAAATTCGGGGCATCAGTGTTTCCAGGACTTAGGAAGGACAGGCCTCACTCCCATGGGCTTTGGATCTTAACTGCTGCTGGGTAAACAGGGTTTCACCTTTGTTCTGACAGGACAAAGTGGCATCCACGGTCAAGGACCGTATTACGCTCAGCACCCACCTATAATGATGTGTTTTAACATTCTCTCTAATTAGTTTTTCTCACTAGCTCTTGGATGACTCCTGCACTCTGTAATTATTTCTTTCACTGGCACTTATGCCGATATTGCACCCTTTGCCTAATAATTACAGCAATTACAGTCACTATATTTGAATTTGGTGACTATGCGATAAATGGTTTTATTATATGTGTGTGATGGGAAGTGATCTCTAAGTGGGTGTCTAGGGGAAGCTATTGAAACACTGCTCTGAGACAAGTTAAAAATATTTTTGGAGAACAAATAACACGCTGAAGTAATAATGTGACAGGAGGGAGCAGCATCGAGTGTGATGAAGTCGAATTGAAGGAAATTCCTGCATAGTACCAATGCAGCCTAAGAACTGGAGAGGGCCAGTTTGCACTTGGAGCCAAACTGGGGCCCGGGAGCACAGGCTGGGCCCAGTACATCCTCAGCATTAACAATTCTCAGCAGGTGAGAGACACGTAAGCTCAGCTCCCTGTGGTTCCTGCTCCCTCCTGCACACCCACTTCCCAAGCTCAGCCTATGGGGCCACTGGGTTCTTAGAAATCTGTCTACCTCTTTGGAGAACTCCATGCCATATTGCCTTTTTGAAGAACGAAAAATCAAAGGACCAGCTTTACTTCTTTGCCACCAGGAGAGGGAAAAGTATAGAACGTCAATGAAAAGTAAAAAGCAAGCAAACTAGCAAGATTTAGAACCTGGTTTAAAAGCAATGCCCTCTGGGAAGATCTTCGGTTACTCAAGCACTCCCCATCCCTGGGGATCTGAGCTATATTCAGTTATGTGTCTGTACAGCTCTGTTTTGTGTGATACACAGACAATCTGTACCACTATTACACTTCAATTACCCACAGATCAAACTCTTATGTTTGCTTAGCACATTTTGTGGGCCTACTAAATTCTAATAATTAAGCTCTACTTATTTAGCTCTTACCAAGTGCTATGCATTATGCTAAGTGCTTTATTGCATTATTTCTCTTAATCCTCCCACCCATCCTTTGAGTTATGTGCTATTATTATTTCCATTTTGCAGACAAGTGGGGACTTGCCAAAGTCACATACTAGGAAGGAGCAGAGCTTGGATTTCCAGCCAGGCAGGCTGAGCCTGCAGCCTACATATCCTGTCTCTCAATTTCAGCAAGCGTTTGGAGGGCAGGAACAGGTGTAGCCAATGCTAAAATACCTCCATTACACCTGTTTCCCTATGACACGTGGCTCTGCAAATGTTAGGTTTCCTAGCACCTCTGACTATGGGCCTCAATAGAAAGTGATTCAAGAGTTTCTTTAGTATTTTCAGATGTCAAAAACCTTTCTTTGAACCCCCTGAGGGACTCCAGACTTCTTCAAGTGACAACTGTGTACCTGACACAACCTATGAGATTGTTCTACGCCCACCTCTGGGCTAGGGTTATGTGTTCAAGGCCATGGTCAGAGTAGGAAGAGCTTGTGGGGGGCTGAGCCCCAGCCCAGGGAGGGAGAGAATGTGGGGCAGCCTCACCTGGACACATGTACTCTTTCTTCTGCACGTCTGCCACATTGAAGCCTCTTAGGTGAACAGGAGCCATGCAGAGTGTGAATTGGCCAATTGTCCTTCGCTGGCGCAACCAGTCTGAGAGCCAGGCCAGGTGGCAGTCACAGTACAGGTGGTTGGAGTGGAGGCGCCTAGGAGAAGAAGAGAGGGGAGATGCTGTCACACAGCGGAGAGAGGAGGCTGCACTTGGCTGAAGGGGGTGGGCCATGCCTCTGTTACCCATCCCCCAGTGGTGACGGTTCTAAAGAGCCTGGGGAAACATGATGTCCCTCCATGGTCCTGAAAACAGAAGCCTCAGCCCTTTAATTGCCAAGCCACAAATTGTCTGCATGTGTAGGGTACATCTTGGGGGTGTCCTTGGGGTTTTGAGCAATTCCCACTTCTTAGTGATAATTCCACTCTTTCCTTTCCCTTGCAAGCACACAGAGGAGGGAGTGACAACACTGTACCATCCCGATGGAGTCAAACTCGTGCAGGGGTCATTCTCTGCATACTTTAATACTTTAGCTGGCAGGAGTCACAGATAGCTTGAAACATGGTTCTCAACCTCAAGGCCTGGTATGTTGTGGCACTGTGGTTTACTTGTTGGTTCTCCTTCCCGCTTCCCTTCCCAGTGTCCTTCAGAAGCTCACAGCAGAAGATGTTGTTGGGCCTAAAACCAGAATCTCTTGTGCATAGTAGACAAGGGGAATAGGGCATGACGCTAAAAGTGCTTCCGGAAGGATATACCTTCTCTCTGGCCTGCTAAGGTGTTGGAATTCATAGCAATCTCTTCACGGTGCCTCTCTCCCTCTTGGCTAAATTTAATTCCACTTGGCGTATTTGCCATTCTGACTGATGTAAATGTCTCTGAAAGGATTTCCCAACCAGTTCCAGAACTCTTTGGCTTTCCTCCTCTGGGAGCTGTGATTACAGATCAATTTCTTGCCCTTGAGTGAACAAGATTCCCTGGAGGGATCTGCCTGTTCCACTTCTGAGGGGAAATCCCATCTGGTTAAACGACTTGAACTTCCCTTCCATGAGTGCCTAAGAATATTCTGGGGCTTCTAAATATTCTTCCTCAGGACTCTCTTTCAGGGGTTTCCAACTTCCGAATTCCCCACAGCCCCAGGTCATTAGAAGCAGTAGTCAGTTTTAGTAGCATCAGTCTTGGGTTTCTGATGCAAAGTTCAAATGCCTCATCCCAGAGGAGTTATCTTGGGACTTTCAAGAGCTCTATGTCAAGCCTGTTAATACTGAGTAGCAGCCTGAAGCAGTGGCTTGGGTGCCTATTATGGGAGAGCTGAAGGGCTCTTGACCACGTTCCACTCAGCGTAAGGTCAACACTGCCAGACAGGAGCCAAGCACAGCGAACTCAGCGGCATGCTGGCCAGGCCAGGCTTTCCTGCTGCTCCCAGGGCAGACACCTCCAGCAGGCCAGGGCCAGTGGGGGCGTTGGCTGCTCCAGATCCCATTATTTCAGAGATTAGATTAAACTATATCTCATATAAAATGTACATTTTGGGGGTATGATTTTGATTTCAAAACTATTAATTAGGATAGGATTTTCTTTCTGAATGTTAAAGTAAGCTCAGCATATTTTTCAGATGCTCCCAGGGCCCGGACAAAATAACTATGTGGGTCATAAGACTTTGTTCCTTTTCAGTTTCAGACTCCCGAGCCGAAGCAAGGTGGCTTCCTCCTGTCCTGCACTCTGCACAAAGGTGTGACATTAGGGAAGGGGACAGGGAGAGTTCCGCCCCTAAGCTGGTGGGAAGGACTTCAGTTTCAGGAGTAAAGCAAGACCTCGGGCTTGTCCCTAAGTACGGTCACTTTCACCAAAGGAAAAGACCGGCAGTGCATTTTCAGCTGGTTACTATTTCCTACAGAGGAAAACGGAGAGAAGAGAATTCCATGGGCAGTAAACTCCCACTGGGTCTGAACGCTACAGACTGTGGCTGTGGGACAGGGTGGAACACAAGGCAGGCAGCGGTGACAGTGCAAACTGAGCTGCAGCAATTCTGCCCTGTGCTGGAGAATCGGAGCCATTTGATTAGCTTGGCTTTTATGCAGAAGGGCAGTTTCCCTACATGGTGAGGGATGGATGGTAAGATGAGGGGTTTCGCTGGGAGGCAATGAGCATGGGTCTCTGAGGAGGATCAGTGCAAACAAGTTCTTGCCAGTTCTAACAGAGGGTAAGTGAGCAACGGAACAGCAAAATGAGGTGTGGATGAGTTGGGTCCTCACTGGGCTGATTCACTTCTGGGATCGCTAAAACATCGGCAGTCTCCCTTTCGGAAGATTATGCTAGGTTCCTTCTTTCTCAGTCCTGGCTGGCCAGCAACATGCTGTTCTTAACCTTACAGCAGATGCTCCCTTTCTTTCTTCCTTCCTTTCCTTCCTTCCTTTTCTTTTCTTTTCGGTACGGAGGATCAAAGTTAGCACATGGTATGGCAGGTGACAGAACCACTAAGCGAAATCCCCAGCCCCAGACATTCCCATTCTTTTGCCCAGCACCCTAAGAATTTCTCCCCTCCCAAGTGGGACCACAGAAAAGACCCAAACAATGTGAAAGCCACTTAAGGCCTCTTGTCAAAAGCCTGGGACAGGGAATAGGCTCAGTTCCCTCCTCTAGGAATTTTTTTTTCAGCTTTGAGTTTATTGGTACATTTTAGGGATACAGTACAGTTACATTCATTGTTGGGATCTTGTACCTCTACACGACAAGTCTTGGTTCTCATTTTTTTCCCCTTGTCCCTGCCCTCCCTTCACCCCCTCCTCCCCTCCCCATCTACAATCACTTTACTTCCATCTTTCCATTATCTCACATTTTTTTTCTTTTCCCTTTTCACCCTTCCCCTACCCGTCCCACCTTCCCTACAGCTTTAACTCCTTTCTTCCCATTTCTCAATGTCCTCTAGGAATTTTATCCATCAGAAAAGCTAGATGTGTCAAGCTGGGGGTTGGCTGCTTTAGTCTATCTTTTACATCACGTTTGGGAGATCCAACTGGGCAATACCTCCCCAAACACTACTATTAAAAGAAAAATAATCGCGGTGATCATGAAACTTGAGCTTGAACATTGCCAGGAATATTTCTAATGCTTCTTTTTAATGGTTACTGCTTATACACTAAGATGTGGATGCATTAGAATACACTAATGCTAATACATTAAGGCTATAATACATTAAAATAGCTATTTTTTTCCAGTGAGGTCCACAGAAGGAAAGGATGAATAGAAGATACAGTCATTAAACTTGAAAGATGGAGCCATGAGGACCTAGCGAGGGCTGGGTATTCCAGGCAAGCTGTTAAGTGAAATTAATTACTTTCCACAAGTTGGGCAAGTTGTGACAGTGATGACATCAGGGGACAGTGGCCTTCACTGGCTCCTGGGCCATGTGGAAGCCCTGGTCTCTCCTTCTGCTGCCCACTGGGTACACTTTCTTCTGCTTCTGTTTCTTCGGAATGGGATGAATTCAGGCATGGATACCAAACTGCCTGAGTTTGACAGTGGCTCTGTGCTTTCTGACTTTGACTCTTGGTGCTGATTTAACTCTGGCTTTTAATATTATCATCTATAAAATGGGGAGGGTAATGGTGCCTCTTCGTAGGGGTACTGTGAGGATTGGAACAGTTCTTGAGAGTACTCAGCACCAGGCTTGGCACTCGATGAACCACTAAAGAAATGTTTGCTGTTCTTCTGATTCCAAGGAGACTAGTCCAGACTTCAGTCTCTTCCCTACCCAAGGGCCTGCCCACACAAGACTCTATTTTCTTATTTAGACACCAAAGCACCAAGGTGCTGGGTGTTTCCTGCATGTTGTTCTGCAACCTTTTCATGATGGACACATCACCTTCCATATTGACAAAAACACCTTTACAGAACATAGGGTGAATGAGTACAAAGGCCAACTCACAAAAGGTGCCTTTTAGCCACAGACGCTAAATTAAATTTCCAGCAAATCCTTTTAGAGAGGGTCACTGTTCATTTTCTATAAAATGTGCCTTTTTGAATTCAATATAAAAGCTTTCCTTTGGAAATCCCATTTATAACTTCCTTCCCCTCTCCTTCTCCCTCCTTCTCCATCACCACCACCACTGCCCAGCCCCCCCACAGTTTAATTACAGTGAAGGGGGATTAGTCAGCTTGTCTCCAGGGAGTTCCATACAGAGCCATCCCTGAAATTAAACTAAAGAGGAAATGGCAGCAGGCAGGGAGCAAAGAGAGCAGAAGAGATTGACTGATTGATCTGAACTCATCAGATGAATCCGCAGGACCTCAGAGCACAACAACAGAAACAAGGAGATAAAACCCGCTTGCCCTCTTCTTCCACCCCAGTGCACCCCAAACAAAGCACCTAAACATCCCCTTCTAACTCCTACGAACCCACCCCGCCTTGCTTCTGTTACTGCTCCTCCTCAGGTGAAAGTAACGAAGAGAGGAAGCGAACATCACAGAGGAAGAGTCTAAGAGTCTAAGAAGCTGGGACGCCGGCCTCTGCGCATGAGAACCACTTCTCTTCTGCGTGCCCATTCATCTGGGCTGATGCAGGCCCAGCATCCTGAGACTTAATTTTGGCTTCTTGCCTGAAAGCCCTGGGCTACACACTTCCCAGCTGAACTGTGGTTGGCTGGGGACTTTGAAGACCAAATGACTTCTCCTTAAAATTCTATTCATGCATAATGCCATTTTCAGAGGGAAGGAAAAAGAGGGTTTCTCCTGGCTGGGGTGTGTTAGGGGTGTACTACACCAGAGGGATCCAGGGGAAAATCTGGGGAGTGGAGATGGCAGCGTGGCTTGAATTATTTTCACTCTGCATAATAACTAGTATTTGTTGCGTGCACATTATGTACTAGGAACCTTACATGTTAAAGCACATTTTGTTCGTTCATGGGGTAAGCATTTCTAAACTCACTTTCCTCGACCAAAAGGATAAAGAAACAGGTCCAAAGTACGGGGCAGAGCTCACATGTAAACTTAGGTCTCCCTGACTCCAGGTTCTATCCTTCTTAGGGTGGCCTGCACAGCTTTCGAATAAACTGCTTCGTCGGTGCTTGTTTCATCCTCACCTGGAGATAAAGCCACTTTTTGACAAGTGTAGCGGCTCTTGAAATGTATCAGTACATAAAGCTCCTGGGGAACTTGTTCAGAGTAGAGGCTGGGGTGCAGCCCCCAGGATCCTGACTCCACAGGCCTGGGGTGGGGGCCCAGGATCTGCTCTGGTAACAAGTTCCAGGCGATTCCGATGCTGCCAGTCTAAGGGACCCAACTCCAGGAACCACTGGACTAAGCATTTTCAAATCTCAAGGATCCCATGTTGTTTGATGAGCACAGGAAAGCTGGTGGCTTGAAGAGCTCCGTTCAGACTTCAGATAAATGGTATGACGACAATGTTCTAATCAGTGCCATTCATGATCTGCCACATGCCAGTTATGGCCCACATCTAATTCCATCTGATCCTCGTACCACCCCTATTCACAGGGGAGGGAATTAGGGTCACGGACTGAATGAAGGGCCCAGCAGGATTTTTCACTCTTCACATTGGCCCCAGAGGCCTCTGGCTCTCAGGAGCTCGATCTTTTCCAGTACTGCAAGACAAATGCCACTGAGGCTCCACCAATGCAGGACAGACGTCCAGCCTAAGCTGGTGGGAAAGGGCAACCACGTCTCTCTGCAGACAAACCCACACAGGGTTTCTGGTGAGAGTGGAGGGGGGTTCCCCACATCATAACAAGAGTACGAGAAACACTCTCAGCTCTAGGCGTCATGGGGAGATTGGCTTCCTGAGCGCCCAGGCTGGAGGGCTTAAACTCATGGACACATTGAAGACAAAGAACCAAGTTTCTGGACTCTAATATCAGAATAACTGTCCAGGGAGCAGGTGCATAAGGGAAAGTGGTGTGTGGGGCTTTGGTGGGAGAGACAGAAGGAGCAACAATGCCTTCTGTCCACCAGTCCCAGAAGGGAAAACAACTGTAATCGCTGGCAATGGGACAGAATTGCCAAGGCTACATGACCTGAGTCAATGGAGAACCCTTAAGTTACAGTTCTGTTTGTTCTAGCCAATTTTCTTGTCAAAGTGGAAAGCACAGTAAACAATATAAGAAGAATTCTACAGTCCTGCAGGGAAGAGCACTGAACCTTCCTGGTCCAGACAGCGGTTGAAAACCATGGACAGCACAGTGAACCTTCCCTGAGTCAGCCAGCATCTGCCAACTCAACCTATAGTTAACGGTAGAAGCAGAACTTTGAAGAGAGGCACCATTTGTCCGATAGTAGCATAGTGGGTTGGAGAAGCAGTGTTGAGGCCTACACTTTGAGTGAGTTAGAGTTAGGCAAGGCAGGCGGTAATGGGGTACTTTACTCACAGGGTCCGGATCTTTGGCATGTGGTTGAAGCTGGTGACCAGGATGCGGCTAATGTTGTTGTTGTTGAGTGTGCTGTGGAGAGAGAAGAGAAAGGACATGTTTAGTGGGGGAGCAGGCTGGGAACCAAGATGTTCACAGAACGGGGAGGGGTGAGAGGGGCACAACTGCAAAAGGACCCTAAGGCAACAGCCACGAAGGAATCAGTCAGTGGGGCAGAGCCAACGGACAGGTCTCCAGATGACGACCACCTCTGCCTCCTCTCTGCTGCCTACCTAGTACTTGTTTATTCACTGTGAGTAGCAATTTCCCTTCCTGAAATTCTACTATGTGCTCGGCATTTCATTATAAAATCTCTAATTCTTATAATGACAATGCCATTTACATGTGATTGCTGTCTTTGAGAGAGAGAGAGAGAGAGACAGAGAGAGAGAGAGAGAGAGAGAGAGAAACCCCCACAGATGCATGACACTTTGCTTAGTGACATCCAACCCCACAAAGTAAACATCATACTTATGTGACAGGTGACACGGCACAGCTGCAGAGTGGCACACTGGTTGTCCCAAGGACCACAGCTGCTGAGCTCTGCAGAGCGGATCTGGACCTAGGTCTCACTCACGTTCTTCTCATTCTGTGCACTGTGCATGTCGCCTCGCACCTGATGCTACGTGGAGATTCATCTGTACTTTCCAAGTACATTCTGACTCTTCAAACACATCTAACCTCAAGTGTGTGTGGGAGCGCCATGAAAACAGAGATAAGTCTCCTCCTTCCCGTGAATCTCCATGACCATGGATGGAGCTCCTAATGCAACGGTAGCACTGACTGGCACTCTTGCACAGGGAAAAGCAAAGAGAAAGGTGTGTGCTCCATGGGTGGATGGAGTAAAATAAAGCTGTGCTTGGATGACCAAAGCTATAGGCAAGTACTTCCCTGCTCACCCTTCTCGAGGGAGCAGTACGAGAAAGCCTGAGGAAGCACGACAGCCAAGGAGCCATCTGCAGAAGCCGGCAGCACTGCGCAGCAGGAGGCCCTCCATGGGTCAGCTGGTTCTGATGGCGAGGTAACAACTTGTGGAAGACTGGTGTGGTTCTCAGCTCTCTAATCTACACCTGCCTATTATGCATCCAAAAGAGCAAGAGTTGGCGACCACCCCTGGTGCTAGTCCTTCGTGGTAGCTGCTTGCTCCTGGGTCCTTATTTTCTCTGCCCCTCTCAGGGCCACATCAGAGATAGTCTTCTCACCAACCCAACAAACCTCCGCTCCCCTCAGACCCTAGCGGTCCCCCGTGACCCAGGAAGGAGTCATTCTTCAGAAGCTTTCATTGTCTGAGCAGACTTCGGTCCTGGGCTCTTAGTAAACATATTGTCTTCCTCTCAAGTGACGTCTACAGTATGAGCTCTGCAAAGGCAAGGACACTTTCCATCTTGTGCCTTCACAGCCCCATGATTTGGTCCATACAGGTTGAGTCTTCCTAGCTCCTTGTTGTGCAGTCTTGGGCAAGTTACTGACACCTCTTATCTGGGGATTCATTCCTGTAGGAAGAGGCAGATAGGCAGACAGGAGGAAGGAACACAACTCACTTACGTTACTTCCTTCCACCTGGCCTGTAACTTTACTACTGTACTCATACAGGCACTTGGCATTTTATGAAGTTGATTTGGAAGCTTTGTGGGGCTCATTTTTTCTTCTCTCTCTCTCTCTCTGTGGGGAGTATCCATGTTGTCTCTGCCTGCTTACCCCTAATGCCTTCCGATCACCTCACAGATAGATAATCCCAGGGAATTTGTTGCTCCCATCAGACCAGGCTCTCCTTCTTCATTGGACTGGGAAGGCCTCTGGGACAGAAACGATGCTTTCAGAGGAGATCTGGACTCCATAACTGGGGAGTTAGGAGTTAGTTAGGGTTGTTGACTGACTCGCAGATAGAAAACAAAGTATCCTTCTGACCTCTGAAAGGCAAATAGCAAGAAGCCTTGGCAGAGAGGGAGCTTCTTTTGACTCTGCCCAAGCACTCACAGTTGGATGGAGTCTGCATTTAGCTGAATATACAGCACAGTTATATGCAGGGCTTCATCTGGAACTGCATCCGGCAGTAGTCCAGCAGTGATGACTTATTAATGTATTACTACACTGATATTTAAATGTGAGCCATAATGAGAGCTATAAAACATTTACGATAATAGCAATTATTCCAGAACCCAAATGACTAAACACAGTATTCAGACTTTCCTGATTTGCTGCTGGGGAGCTGGCAAGCCCGAGGATGTCAGAAGGCTGCTAACCTCTTAAGACACTGACTTCTCTGCTGCTGCGATTTCTGTTTCCCTGAGAAACAGGGATTTATTTGATTTCTAGTCTTGGTAGCTTCTGCCAGTGCAGAGGGCACTGTGGTCTGTCTGGTCCTTGCATCCTGTCTAAGCAGCTGGCATTCAAGGGAACAATGGGTGTTAGGTGCTTCGCACAGAGTTGATCAGTGTGGGCCTGTGTGACAGAGACCTGGTGAAGAATGTGGCTCTGCCACTCACCTCCGATGTGGCCATGGGGGACTTTTAAAAACATCATTAAGTTGCTTCCTTGTAGCATGGAGAGAAACAATAGCACTGATCTGGTCATTAGATGAGATGATACTAATAACTGGTAACATTGGCTGAGGCTTTTGTATGCCAGACAGACTCTGGGTTAAGGATGCTGTCGTGCACCATCCCATTGAATTCCTCTACCACCCCAAAGGTGGAGACTTTTGCTATTGTCTCCATTTCATGAATGAGACAAGTAATAATGCCAAGATTTGAATTGAAGGAAGCAAGCCCAACTCCAGCAATGAGGTCTGCATTACTTTCCTGTTGCTGCTGTCATGGATGGCTGTGGATGCAGCGGCTTAACTTTATTCTCTTACACCCTGAAGGTCGTAAATTAAACTGGGTGTGTGGAGCTGTGTTTCTGGGCAGGGCCCAGGGAGAAGACTTTGTTTGCTGGCCTTCTGTAGCTTGTAGAGGTCACCCACATCGCCTGAATTGCACTCCTTCCTTGGGTCACTCCAACCCTGTGATCTCCCGCTCCCTCTTTTAAGGACCCCATCGATTACATTTAGAACCTTCCAGATAATTCAGGAAACCCATGCACTCCCAGGATTCTTAATTTAATCAAGTCTGTAAGGTGCCTTTTGCAATTGAATGTACTGTTCACAGGTACAGCCAAAAACTATGCCCTTGGATCAAGGGGTGCAAATCACTTACTACTTGGTCTGGTTCATAGTTTACATCCAATAATAATTAACTTGTTACTACAGCTTGTGTTTGTTTAGTCTTTTAGGGTGTACAACTCAGTGTCACAATGTCACATTTGTCTCATGTGATACTTGCAGCACTCTGAGGTTGGAATTATTCCCGTTTTACTGATAAGTGATTTGAAGCTAAGAAAGAGAGGGTAAGGGTGCTACCAAGCACAGTACAGGAGAGCTCCTGGTACGTTCAGGACTTTTTTTTTCATTATACTCCCCCCCCCACTTTTAGGGCAAATTTATCACTCTAGAACAGATCTTCTTTATTATATCTACCCTGGTATCCAAAGCTAGAGATATCCACACAAACCTCATCGTTCATTCTGAATTTGTAAAACTTCTTGAGAATTAAATGGCAGAAAACAAAAGGTCCTTTCTCTCAGTGACATCACACCACCCCTCCATGGACTGTTGGTCCGTCTTCAGTAATGGTGACCTCATCAACCTCATCTTATTTAGCGCCATCTCCTGGGGGAGCTTTGCTAGCACCAGCTCACACCTTCAAACTCATAGCATTTTGAATAAATATACTATCACTATATGCTCCCCAGATTTTCCAAGTAGCCATTGAAAGATTTTCCCTAAGAACTCTGAATTCAGCACTTTCCATCAGGATTTAAGCTGAAATTCAAGGTCAAGTTAATTCAGTCAATCTCAACACAGTCTGGCCTCCCTTTATTTTTCCCCAGTCACTTGCTCCCGAACGGTTGTTTCAGCATGAACTAGAAGTCAAGCTAGTCCCCCTCCCCATGGAGTTGGAAAGACGGTCCACCTGGCTCTCATTTCTCTTAAAAAGTCCTTATCCCATTTTTACATACTGTATATGCACTGAGGCTAAGTTTGACCTGTGTGTGTTGTCCAGTTGCTCTTTGACTTTGTCATGATTGGAGCATAAATTCCAAATAAAAAGTAACCACTTCCCACAGGAAAACAATTGGGCAATGGATTCCTTCTGATGGATCTCATTCTCCCTTGACTGTGAGCACTGGAAAGGGTATGCGGAAATGTTTTGTGCAGTGCCCGAAGCACAACTGAACTTGTTGCTCCCATAGCACACAAATAGGGCATTTTTGCCCTGAGTTTGTGATTGCTCAAGTTACTCAACAAATAAAAGGGTGCTATAGCAAGACGAGAACTCCCTAGTAATGTCAAGTGCACGAGGCCCTGGTACATGTGGTGCTCAGCTCCCAGAGCTGGTGAATAATGCTCCCAGGCCAAATGCCATCCCATACAGACTGGGTTTTTTTTTTTTTTTTTTTT